GGGCCCAAGTGTTTCACTTCCGACTCATTGTGGTCCATGACACGTAATTTGGTCACGAAAACTAAGTCTGCCATGTGCTCAAATTTTCTACCTTCTGTTTATACCTCCATGGTCTGATCAATTAAATCGTGGAAGGTACCTTCCATGATTAAAAGTTTCATAATAATCGCTTTACATACTGTCGACGTTCTTCTCCAAATTTCCTTGCATTCGTTTTCTTTCATCACTGTCACAGTCGACCCCAAGACGGTTTGATAGTCGACTGCTTGAAGAGCGAGAAATTCAACGAAATTGAATTTGTGGACGATCGTAAATGGAATGCGTGTAACTTGTACATCGGAATACTAATACTTGTATTACTAGTCTGAGCTTGTACTGAATGCACGAGACTGTTTATATTTGCTATGGGTGGTGACTATTATGCAAATTATCTGTCTATTATGTCTTTGGCTGATTAATTAAAACATGGCTTTCAAAACAATGACATGTGCTTTTGTTTTTAATTAACAAAAATTGATTTTTACACCCTATAAAAACATCCAATTCACTTGTTTTCCTACTGAGTGTTTGCTCCTTGTAGTCCAGCATTGAAAAATACAAAAAAGTAGAATTTTGGGTTTCAAAGCAAAAAAGATGTACAGCATTCTTAAAATGGTTTGATATAAACTACTGACTGGGGAAAGTGTGATATGCCAGTTATGGACTCGTTGCATGTATCAAGGCGGTTTAATACATAAAACGCCATTCCATTTCCTTTGATAATCGCCGCAGTACTTTTCCTGTATACCACGGTTCAACCTTTGAAAGCCAAGGTCATATTTTTTCATCTTTCACCATATAAACTTTTAATTCGCAAAGGAATTGTATGAAAATACTATAAAATACTTTATTTTAGCTGGAATTAATTTTTGTTGAAAAGACTTTTTGGGTGTTGTATGGAATTTATTTTCACTGATTTCTGACAAGTTGAATGTAAAATATAGTAAAAAAGGTATATTCGCTGGATTTTATTTTCACTGAATCATTCCTCCAGCGAAAATAGTGAAAATTAATTCCAAGCAAAAATAAAGTATGCTACAGTACTTAAAAATGTGCAAAATGTAGCATTGAAATCAAGAATTTAATCAGATCACAATCCATTTAATAAATTATTGTATTCATATGGCATTTGTAATTTCCACAGATGCCCGAGTACTTGATAGAGCTGAAATGATGTCAGATGCCCATCCCTATGACGTGAGAAATCATTTGCCAAGTACCAATTTCCCTCCTTCACCAATAATGACTTCATCACTGAAAAAAGATGAGGAACCTGTTGGTAACCATGGAAACTATCAATCAAGGCAGATATATAATCAGCCTCATTCACCGAGTAAGTTTTTATTACTAATTATAGTATTGAAACTGCTGAGTTTAATCTGTCTTGCTTAGTACTGTAAAAGGGTTAATTATTCACTGGGTTTTAATTTTGTTTTTTTCGCTGACTGGAAAATGCACTAAATTAAAACCCAGTGAATATGTAAAATTGAGCATAGAACACATTATCTAAATGATAAAACCGTGAATTTAAAACCTGAATATGCCTGAAATGCTAAATCAGTGAAATTTAGTCATTTTACAGTACTACAAATGACAGTATTTGCTCTTTTAATTCCAAACTACGCGTAGGCTCTTCCAAGTAATCTAAATATCATTTCTAAATTATTATCACATAGTCTTTCCCAATAAATATTTGTACCCTAGTTTAGTTGATTCATTTCGGTACAGTAGTGTATTGTTAAAATCATGGTTAGGTTAGTCAGCTGGCACCATGCTTTTAGTGAATTGTATTTGTGTTGCTGTTTCATTGCACAGTGTAAATTTTGAGCTGTCGGTATTTCAGTGTTTTTATTTAACACTTATTACTATTAATTGCATGCATGGTAATTCAGTAAAAGGCTCTCATCTAATACTTCTCTTATCATCGTACTAAATTGATATTAATAATCATGTAAATGTACTTAAAGCGTGGTGGTCGTTGCGCAGCGCGTGTTCGAATTTCATGTAAATAAACAATGTATTTTACATGCGTTGTATACGTCGCTATGAGTCCCATATCGAACAGGACGCAGCACGACGACCACTGCCCTTTAATAGCATAATACAGCAATCTTAGTCGTTTGTGTTTAAATACCCCTGTCCTGTAAGTTGCGCCCGCTAGTGATGAAACAATAGATGACTTTCCCGGAAGTCAAAGATACAGCTTTTCGCATGCGCGCGCATGCAAAATTGGGGTGTGATATTGTGCTTCTGGGTGTACCAATTGACGTAACAAAAATAAAATTCTTTTCTATCGACTATCAGTAAACTGACATGTTTGTATTATCCGCCATGACAAAGCAGGTCTATTTTTGCACCCCAGTTTTGCTACTTCCGGGAAAGTGGTCTATTGACGTCACAGAAACATCCCGTCACTAGAGGGCGCAATTTATAGGAATGTTATAATACTGTAGAATACTTTATTTTCGCTATTTATGCTGAAGGAATGATTCCGTGAAAATAATATCCAGCGAATATACTTTTTTTTCTATATTTCACATTGAACTCGTCAAAAATCAGTGAATCAAGCAAAACGCCCAAAAAGCCTTTTCAGCGAAAATTAATTCCAGCGAAAAACTAAAGTATTCCACAGTATTTAAAGTATATATTGTAACAGTCATTGAACAGTGTACTGTGTAATTCACTTCTATACCATGTTGCTGTATATAGATTGTGCAATGTATCTGTAGCATTTGTCCTGTCTGTCCGTCTGTCTGTCTGTCTGCATGTATTACTAGTATACAACAAACCAAACACACACAACATTAATAAATAATGTCCACTGTTCATACATTAATTTGTATATCTAATTGTTGCATTTCATGTTGTACTAATACCTGTACGTAACCAGTTCTGTTAACATTATCATATTTTCTCTATTAGAAACATGCCTTCAGTGTAGACACAAGTCAAATTTAAATAAATTTGTTTCTTATATTGTATATGCACCTTTTATATATGAATGCATGTGATATTGGCATCTGTTTCTAATAGAGAACATCTAGTAGCACTTATTCTCTGTTGTCTTGTCGCCATGGACCACTATATTTTAATTACCGGTACAATACACAAAGAAAATATTATCATAGTATTCAAAAGTCTGATAACGAAGAAAAGTTCACTTGTATTGCTTGCAACTGCACTATTTATCTAGAAAATGGTATATAAAAATAAGAGACTACCAAACCGGTCTTTCTCCTTTTCAATTACACAGCTGATATTATTACTGTTAAATCTGTATTAGAAGCTGCATCCCTAAGTCGCACTCATTATTTTTGAACACTTGAAAATCATTCACCATTTCTCATATGTGTAGATGCTCTAATAGAAACCGCCTCCCCACCATTGTATTGTACTATTTTAAAACAGATTTTACATTAATAAGTAATGATACTAGGTTTGAAGTCAAACAGCAGACTTTCGCATACATGACTTTCTCCACAACATTATTTACAAGAAAATATGTTTACTGATGCATTCTGTTGTGATTATAAATTCACTGATAAATAATCATATAAAACTTTAGTGAGTTCAAATTTATAAACGTATATCACTCCATTTAAAAAAAAGTATGAAAGTTTAAATGGCTCATTTGTCTGTGAATTTGATACAAAGCTATTTGTATACAAGACTAAATATGCATCTCTATAGTTTGGTTTTTACACATTGTAAAATAAATATTTAAATTCTTGAAATTGTAGATTCTGTAAAATTTAAGTTTTATCTATTAAGTATGATGATTTAATATTTCAATCTGTTGATTTACAATGTTGATACATTTCGGTAAAAGAATCGCTACATTGCGATTATAAATATTATTGTCATCTCCACTGTACTTTTACTGTTCATTATTTGTAAAATTTAGAAACTAAAAATACCACCGAAGTTTGCCGAATCGTCATATCATCAACCATTATCATGGTTATTTACAATTGCCAAAATTTGCCACTCCCTTACGATTCATGGGATAACTATTGAATTGTCTATTTCTTTTTTTTTTTCATCCCTCTTTACTTGTGTTTGTCTTATCACATGTCATGTCTCTGCACATATCCTGGTGTTGTCTATACATGTATATGTCTGCTACTCTGCCTCTATTCTATCTACTCATTATTCCCTTAATGTGCCTTAACTCTTTAACCCTTCATTGAACATTGCATGTGATAACTCTCATACAATATACACAATAATTTTCTGTTGAATTCTGTTTTTACTTGTTCTGTAACGTATTTGTGTCCTATTCTCTCTACTCATCTTTGCTTTGTTTGTCTGCTGCTTTTTCTTGTCGATCTTTGCATGCTCTACAGATCGTGAGAGACATCCACACATGCTACGTGAGTATACGCCACCTAGATCCAACACTGTGGGGATCTTACCAATCATAACACTGACTCCGCCCTCTCCGACTGATAAATCATCCCCTGTAGGCAAGATATCGCATCACCAGGCGCACAGGGAGCGCATGCGTGTACAGTTTGCGGATGAAGTTGAGCAGATTAGGAAAGAAGGTGATCCTAATATCCGATTTGGGGACGAGAGTAAAGCATACACTGCTTATACTTCTAAAGCTAATTTCACGCCAGCACCACAAGGGTCATTAACAGGTGTGTGGATTTCATTTACACTGTCATGATTGCAATTATTATCATCATCATAATAATCATCACATCAATATAAAAATCATTATCACCATCAAAATCATAATCATTATTGTCATTAAAATCACTATCATAATCCTGCTATCTCAAACTACAGTCAAGGTAAATTCTGCACTCCTTCGTCTAGTTTGCAATATTTTGTTTATCAGGCATACATTTTGTACATGGATCTCAGTGATTCAGATGTGTTACCATCCTTCTCTACTTTGCCTATTTCCAAGTGTCCCTCCAATACATATATGGGCGGGATTAAATCATTCATGTAAATGCAGATACTTCAATGTAATTTGACTGTTCCACAGTGTTCCAATCAAAACCTCTGTCATATCTTGTTTTTTTTTTTTTATTGGTTAGCCTCTATGTGGGTTGTATTGATGAAGGCTATGATATGGTTTACTTATCACTTTTCTATTTAATGGGAGTAATCAAATGTCATTGTCTCTGTAATACTCACTTGAAATGAGTATTGGATTACATTGACCGGTTCATTATTGCAGCTGTGTGCATTGTTAATCTAATCACCTCACATTCAATGTTAATGGTCTCCATCTGATCAGTTTGCAGTTCACTGCTGCTC